TCCCTCTTTCGTCTCCCTTAATAACTTTATGCAGCCTAAAAGAGTCACAAAAAAGATTATAATTGTCTCTGTCAAAGTAGGGTGTCCGATATATCTACAATTTTTGTGGACTTGAAACTTCTTTGTAAGGTATTTTGGAATTCTAGTTTAGAGGAAGACAGACGTTGTGTATATATTATATATATTATATGGACATACATACAATACATATAATATAGATTAATATATCATGTATTATGTATGATGTATCGTATGTATGTATGTATGTTATGTGATGTATGTATGTATGTGTATTGTAGTATGGTCGACGTACTGTAATTCCTAAAACCTCTACGGGGACACACGGTAGATTCCAATTAAATGTCTCACCGGGACGCTCGGGTTATCTTTTAACGGACTTTTTCGCCGCGCCTGCTTTACGGTGCTTCCCAAACCCCCGGAGGGGATCTTTTAAATCTAAGAAACGTCCAGAATGACATCTACGACAGACCACGTAAGAGATCTGACTTAATATTCTACCTTGGTGGTGTTATAATATTACATGTTAAAGTACAAATAAAGAAGAAAGTGAACAAACAAACAAGAACAAACAACAAACGAGCGAAACGACGGACGGTACGATATTCTTATGAATCTCAGCAACCAGTTCTGTGAAAGGTAGACTCTACTTACGTTTACGGAAGGGTATTCATTTTTTCATCTTTTGTAATTAAGGTCAACATTGACGAGAGACCTCTTCAGGAGGAAGGCCGCCCCGTTCCCCCCCCCCAGAGAGCGCTCCCCGTTGCGCCGCGAGGTGGCCCGCTCCCCCCACAGCCGCTCGGGCTCCAGCGTCAGCAGCAGAGGATACTCCCCGGACCGAGCCAAGAGCCTGCCGTTCCCCTCACAGCAAGGCAAAAGTATGTAGATCCCGTAGAGACCCCCTCCCCAACGTTTGAAATTCAGGACAATCCCTCCCAAAACATGCATTTACTGTCTCCATGTTCCTTTATTATTTGACTTCTTCCTCCTTTAACTGGTAATGTGGGTGACCGGCTTTTCAGGTGTGGACGTTCCAGAGGGTCATGCAGGTCTAGCTGAGCCCCTCTGGGGGGCGCTCTATCCTCAACAGATTGGACATGAAACTTTGGGTCTGTACATAAAGCCATTTGAAACAAGTTCAGACTTGGGTGACAATAAGCAAATCTTCTCTTCCTCTCTCGTCTCCTTGCATCCTTGTCCTGTCAGAAGGAAATGTTGTGGCTTCCTATTACTGACACTAAGTTTGGAGAAGGATACAAGGATGGAGGACAGACTTAAGGGCCTGCAAAAGCTTTAAACCTATAGAAGATAATCAAATAAATGAACCTCGGTTAAATAATTGCCCTTAAGTATTCTAGCTATAATAAACTCCGAATTGACCCGGAAGTTATTTCACCCAGGTCTGAAGTTCGTCGCACAGAATTCTGTTTGTTCACTAGTTCCTAGTGGTGACTGTAATGGGTTCCTCTGTGGTAGCACCTTCCTTGCTTCCTACTCTGATCTGTAAATATGACATATCATATGCTAACCTTGCAGATGCATGTAGACATTTTAAAGTAATTGACTAAATCATAAGATATGCTTTATGTAATCCTACATGATTCCCCCTTTGGTTATCAGACGGTGTGCACCTGCTCTGGCAATGACGCATTTAATAAGGCTTTGTGCAGGAACTGTACATATTACAGTTAATATTAAAGCTCTATGTCCCTATTCATATGCTGGCAAACTGCATACTTGGATAGTCTTAGTAAAGTGGTGCAGTGATGAGCTAAAAGCAAAGGGTCCCTCAACCTGTGAAACCCTCAATAGAGTGTGTTAACCACAGACCTTATTTCAGACATCTAAGCCAAAACGCATTAAAAAAAAAGTGACTTCAAATAAGAAAATCCGAAAGTTGAAAAATGCTAATTTCCGGGTCGTTGGACTCATTCCTGCACCACTCTATGCCTGATTGAATCTTAGATTTGTATTTTTCTTTTTTCTGTTACTGACATTGGACATGTGCTGCCTTTCAAGTTTTACATGACTAATTTCGCAGCATGTCGGCAACAAATCTAAGATTAACTGAACTTGCTAGCATTTGTTCATTTGTATGCTTTGTATACCTAAACCAGGGGTGTCCAAACTACGGCCCGGGGGCCAAATGCGGCCCGCGGACCATTTTGAATCGGCCCTCAGCAGATTCAAAATGTATAATGTAACATGGCCCACAAATCAAACTTCTGCTTGTCTTGTCTTATATTGTGCTTCTTAAGGAATGAGCTGTTAACAAAATAAATGAAACCCTCTGGAGAGCTGTGATTTAGGCAGTTTTTTATAACAGCATTTTCAAGTATCAAGAATAATTGACATACATTGGATTGATTTTTCCAACTTACAACTGAACTTATGAGGCAATAAACCTCTAGAGCCCTTCGTATATTTTTCTGTATGTGGCCCTCAGGGAAAAAAGTTTGGACACCCCTGATTAAACCATCCGAGCAAACCCTTTCCTTCAGGTCTCCTACCATCTTCAATGCTGCCATCTCCTTCTGACATTTTTACTGGCCCCTTTTTAGACTGGCAAGTGGTCGTCATGCTTACGTGGCAAAGTAAGCCTCGGTTGCCTCAATGTTTATGATGCATGATGGTAATCTCTAAGAAGCTGAGCAAAGCACCGTTAAACATATTTTAGTGAGGCATCAGGGCAGAGAGTGTGCTTGATGGATGGCTATTGGATAAGGGAGAGTGTAGTTATTGTGTACACGGTCAGTGACCTTACGGTTTGGTCTTCCTACAGGATGTGAAGAGACTTATTCTCACAGTAAGATCTCCGGTAAGTACAGTTCAGTATAGTTGTTGTGTAGACCAATAGAAAAGCAGTTGGTTTGTTTCCTCAGAAATCTATATTTGAAAGGAAACACCCCCGGTTAGTAAGGTACAGTTGATTGCTTGCTTTAAGGTGTTTGTTCTGTTTAAATATTCCAATGAGGTATAATCCTCTTAAATATGCTATAGTTTGCATTCACTTCGATCACTCTAAACCTTGTTTAATGCTGGTTGTATTTTTTTGTTGACATTTTAGAGTCAAAAGCTTTCAACACACAGTATTTTGGATTTTTTTTTAAATATTACTCCATAAACCTTGAACTACTTTCATTCCCCATATACTTTTGCCATGCGTTAGGGAATAAAATGTTTTATTAATCAGGCTAAAGATGATTTATGAACAATATACTCTGTAAAAACATTCAGTTTGGTGTGTGTAAGGGCCACTGAAGGGGAGATGTTTTTACTAGGTTCAGAAAAATAATTTTGAAAATGTGTATCGTTAAATTCCATACATTTTCAGCACACTTTTTTAATTTTAACTAATAGATATCACAATGAAACGTCCCCTGTTGAAACCGAGTCACCCAAATAGACAGTTAAAAAAACGATTTATTCAACTCATCTGAAATCTATGTTACGCATAAGAGCTTAAACTCACAAAATTGACAAGTGCATTAAAGATAATGTTATTTCCATGGATGTCTCAACTAGGGCTGAAGGATTCATCGATCTTAAATCGAAATCGCGATTTGAAATGAATTTTTTTTGTTCTTCTTGTGTGTCAGTCATCCACACCAGTCAGAAGTGCTGTGCTCCACATGTACCAGCCATTGTTAACCAATCAGAAGTGGCCCATGATAGAAGGTGATAGAGAGATTGGGAGT